CAACCACCCACCTTCCTACCTGTGGCTTAATAATATCTATCAAGGAATAGGGCTGTGGCAGCGGGGGTGCAGTTCTGTCTCATAATAATGATCAGGAACAACCGATTATGATCAACGGGAAGTGCGAAGTCGTAAATTGCGTCTGAAAGCCCTATACTACTTTACGTTCCCGTATTTGATAGGAGGAAACAGCGATGATTTACAGATTTACAAGTATTGCTGTGTTATGGTTTTATAGATTGTTTAGAAATAGGCTAACCCCTTTTCCTAGAAGTTGGGGAATAATGGTGGGGTTTTTTTTTATTTGGTCTTTTTTCGGGAGGGGGTGGGGGGATACGAATACATGTATTATTTGTTGTTGTATTTGTTAAGTTGTCTGAATGTTCCATGTTTGCGTGTTCATATTACATGTATCAAATAGTAATTTATCTCTATATACGTATTTGCTGACTCATTCGTTCAAGCCTGGGCTGCTTTTCAGTTATCTAATACCCTTTATTTTCTTTTTTATTATTTGTTATTGTGCACAGTTACGGTTGTGCACACGAAGAGAAAGTGACTGTATGGGTATGTATATTATAATGATGCCTGTCTACTAGTTTTTCGGTTTGTCAAACGTATTTCTTTCTCCCTGTCTAATCAATTTCAGAAAATCTGGTTACAGCCAATCTTCTTACCACTACAAAACTCTCTCCAGAGAGCTTCTAGAAGAAGAAATTGGAGGGCAAAAAGACAATTTTGTTATTAAAGCAAAAATCCCACCAGGTAAAACAACGACTGAGATATTTTGAAGTGTTACTCATATGATCGAAAAGAAATTATTTCCAAATAATGTGGATTGCGATTGTCTCGGTTTTGACAACGATCCCCCCAAAAAAACATATGCAGGTTATTATGAGAACATAGGCTACTGGGATAGATATATTTAAAACAGACATGCACACACACACACGCGCGCGCGCCCGCGCGCGTGCGCGGGCGCGCTGTGTTTATGGGTACAGACAGACAGACAGACAGACAGACAGACAGACAGACAGACAGACAGACAGACAGACAGACAGACAGACAGACAATGAATGAATGAATGAATGAGTGAATGAAAGAGGTTTCGTTTACGAGTGAATAATTATGTTGCCAATTTGAGTGAAGTAACATTAATAACTAATTATCACTTTGACATTTCTACGAATATCATAACTTAATATTTCTGACTGCAATCTTGTATTAAGGGACAGAAACATTTTTTAAAAGTTAGATCTAATCATCTTTTGATCATTTTTCTCCAGGCACCATTATGGAATAATCTTTTGATTAAAATTTTTTTTTTAAATTTGGTTCAGACGCCATAAAAGGATTCCGAATGCCCTACTTTGAGTCTGGCTCTGACGAAATGCTTGACGTCCTAAAAGAAGAAGGCTACACGTATGATTCCACTCTGCTGGTCAATCGACAGACATTGCAGGAGGCGCCGTCCTGGCCTGCTACATTCACGTACGAGTGGCCTTTCGCGTGTAAGCACGGAAGATGTCCGACGTCGAACCATTCATCGCTCTGGGAGGTGAGTTTGTGCTGTGGCGTCGTTCGTTTTTATTTTCGTTTTTTGTTTTTTTTAGTAAGGTTTCACGACGCTCGCAACTGCATAAGGCCATATGTGAGGCAGCGTGGTGGAATCAGGCTCTCGTCAATTTTTGGGCATATTGACTTATTGGTATCATCTTAAAGCTTGTTCATTTGTCTTGCTTTCAATGAAAAAATTACCCATCCATC